ACTGTCTCCACTTCTGTTCCTACAATTTTCTCTTCCACTCATTCCAATCATGCATCTACCCCTCTCACTCCACTGAGACTGCACTGATCAACATCACCAATATTCCCACTGGCAAAATCCAATGCTTATTTCTCTGTTCAGACCTTATGCATCCTCTCTACATTAGGCTACAGAGTTAACTACTACTTTTTATTGAAAAACATAATTTACAAAAGGCAAACAAAAAAAGTCATACCACTTAATTCAGAGAGTTTATCTCTTTGATAGATGAGACCATCGTAAAAATATAACATCAGTGTATCATATCTTTCAACATCCACAATAATTCCTTAATATCACAGAATCAGTATGTTCCTTACAACTGACCTTCAAGAGACGTAAAGCAGAACTCCCCTGGGCCCCTTTGTAGTCACCCACTACTCTACCACCCAACCCTAGAAACCACTCTGTACCTATTGTGTTCCCTTTCCCAGAATGTCACATAAAAGAATTAATAGTTCGTAGACTTTTGAGTCTGCCTTCTGTCATTCAGCGTAATGTGAGTGAGAGCTCTCGGTGGTGCTGCGGGTATTCACTTGTTTCAATTGCTGAGTGCTATTCTGTCACATGGATGTATCAGAAGCTGTTCCCCACTGAAATATCTTGGAGTGGTTTCTAGTTTGGGTGATTACAAATTAATCTGCTATGTATATTTGTGAATAGTTTTTTTGGGTGAATCTAAGTTTTGTGCTTTATCTGGTTAAAGACCTAGGAGTGGGAGCTTCCAATTCTGGCACAGGATGGTGTCAACTCACTTTTCCCTTCTCCTCCTCTCTAAACACAAAATAAATATTCTGAAAATAATTCAACAGACAATTATAAAAGGACTCTTAATGTGGAAAGATGGTAAATCAGCAGGAATCTCAAGATTTTTTTAAAGTACATCTTGATGAATTCCCTGCCTTTTCTTTTTACCTATCATATATTTCAGACCGGACAGCAGAGATGTCTACAACCTAAAACCATCAACAGGCATAGGGAAAACAAAACAAAACACGCAAACAGAACAAGAAAAGCATGCCCTCTCTGGATAAAAGAAGGGGAAGCCCAGCAGAGACTAAGCAGGGAGTCCCATACCTAGTGACAACATCCAAATGAATCTCCTACGGAAGTGACTGCAGTGCCCATATGAGCCGACCATCCCTGTGCCCCACCCCCACCGGTAGCAGCAGGCGAGATCTGCT